CATTTTGGCCAATCATTTCTTCGTCGACATTCTTCGATGTTTTGAGGTTCCGGATCCTCATTATCAATATCAAGAGCAGCGACATATGAGAATATGTTATCGTCAACAATTTTATTTCTATTCCATCTCGTTTTATAATTTAGTGAGATCTCATCATTTTCAGGTATATGTGCCTCATCAAAGGCACGTGACTCATCAAGGGCACGTGCCTCATCAAGCGCCATATCATCATCTGTTGTCTTTACTTCATCAATATTTATTATTTCATCATTTTTAGGTACCTGAGACTCATCAAGAGTCTCTGCCTTATCAAAGACTATTATCTCAGATTGATCAATAATATCTATTGCTCCTTTTGTGGCCTCTTTAAGAGTGCCAGCTTTTTTTTGTGATTTTCTCTTACGAGGAGCAGTATCTTTTGCACTTCAGGCATGTTTTAGATGTATTTGCTGCATTACTAACAGAAGGTCCCCTGAGGATAACAATTCGTGCTGGAATATTTACAGCTGGTATATGTGATTTTGTTACTTTCTTTGTATCAGTAAATACATCAGGTAATTGATTTGTAACATTTTGCAAGTGAATAATCCTCTGAACTTCTCGTTCACATTGATTTGTACGAGGATCAAAATGAGACAATTCCAGGGCATTCCAAGTAAGATCACATTGCTGTTGTGCCTTTTTTCCCCCTAATGGTGGGAAAACAGTCTCATCAAAATGACAGTCAGCAAATCGTGCTTTAAAGACATCACCTATTAGGGGTTTAAGATATCTAATAATAGATGGAGAATCAAAACCAACATAAATCCCAAGTCTACGTTGATCACCCATTTTAGTGCGTTGGGGTGGTGCAATTGGAACATATACAGCACAACCAAAAACTCGTATGTGAGATATATTTGGTTCTTGACCAGAAACAAGTTGCAATGGTGAGTACTTATGATAAACAGTTGGTCATATATAAACTAATGATGCAGCATGTAATATGGCATGACCCTAGGCAAAAACAGGTAATTTTGTTCGCATAAACAAAGGACGACCAATTAACAGAAGTCTTTTAATAAAAGATTGAGCCATACCATTTTGAGTATGAGTGTATGCAACAGGATGTTCAGCATTAATTCTAATTGACATGCAAAAATCATCAAAAGCTTGAGAAGAAAATTCAACGGCATTATCAAGACGAATTGTCTTAATTGGATAATCAGGAAAATGTGCCCTTAATTTGATAATTTGAGCAAGAAGTCTAGCAAATGCAACATTACGAGTAGAAAGTAGATAAACATGTGACCATCGTGTTGAGGTATCAATTAAGACCATAAAATAACGAAATGGTCCACAAGGTAGATGAATTGGCCCACATATATCCCCGTGAATTCGTTGCAAAAATGGGGGAGACTCAACAATGACTTTTGAAGGGGATGGTCTGATAATCAACTTACCTTGTGAGCAGACGGTGCATAGATGATTATTTGGTAAGATGAGCTTTTGATCTTTTAGTGGGTGTCCATGTGAATTTTCAATAATTCGACTCATCATTGTACTCCCCGGGTGACCAAGTCGATCATGTCAAAGTATAAAAAGTTTTGGGTCACACGATTTTTTATATATCACAACATTTGACTCAATTGTTCTAATAGTTGTGTAGTATAACCCAAAAGAGAAAATAGGGAGTTTTTCTAATATTAACTTCTTGCCTGAGGTAATGGAAGTAATGTAGAGATATTCCACATTTCATTCATTTGCAGTCTCAATATGATACCCATTACGACGCAAGTCTTTAAAACTTAACAGATTTCTCCAAGATCTTGTAGAATATAAGGCATCATTGATTTGTAATCTTATTCCATGTGGTAAAATGATGTTAGCTCGTCCAGAGCTTTCAATCAAGTCGGTGGGACATGATATTGTACTGACATTAGTGTCTGTCAGGGTTAAGTGAGAAAATTATTTTTGATCTCGAAGGATTGTATGTGTTGTTCCATTATCTTCAAGACATATGTCTTCACCATTTATTTTGGAACTAATCAGATCCATTCCTATTCATGCAAATTTCTTTATCAGAAAAGAAACATTTATAACAAAAGAAACTTTAATAGAAACTAGAAGATAAAAACTTTAATACAAGGAAAACAAAAATATAGTAGACAGAACATGAAAAGAAAATAGGATTAATTGGTATGGACATTTCCATCACCAATCAGGAAGTCTATCTTTCCATTACGATCCTCAAAAAAATCTGATATATCCAGATTTGTGATGTTAACTGGCTTATTATGATCAATGAAATTTATTTCCAGATTTGTGATGTCAACTGGCTCATCATGATCAAGGAAATTCATTTCCTTTTGTTTCCCCTTTTCTTTCATTGAAGCTTGGTAAATTTCAGCCGGATGCTTAGGTGTACGATAAATGCTTTGCCAATGCCCCGTCATTCCACATCAGTAACAAGTATTATCATGTGCCTTGGAAGGTTGAGCCACATCCTTCATTTTTTCCTGTTTTATTTCATTATATGGTGTGGATCATTGATTACAAAAATGTGAGGATTGATATCCTTCACGGTAATAAGAATGATTTCTACCACGACCATATTCATTATTATGGTAATTATTTTTACCACGACCATATTCATTTCTACCACCACGACCACGTCCACGTCCACGTCCATGAATACGGGATGAGGCAACATATGTTTCAGGGATCGGTGTCGATCCAGTTGGACGGGATTGGTGGTTTCTTAACAAAAGCACATTATTTTGCATTGCCACAAGCAAACATGATATCAGCTCTGAATATTTTTTAAATCTACGCCCTCGATATTGTTATTGTAAGAGCACATTCGAGGCGTGAAATGTGGTGAATGTTTTTTTCAGCAAAAGTTCATCAGTAATAGTATCACCACATAATTTCAATGTAAAGCTGATTTTGAATAGGGCAGAATTATATTCAGCCACAGTTTTAAAATCTTGCAACCTCAGTTGCTGCCAATCAGCCCTGGCCTTTGGGAGGATAACTGTTTTTTTAATGATCATATCTTTCTTTCAAATTGTTCCACAAACAAAGTGGATCTCTTTCAGTGAGGTATTCCGTTTTTAGCTCCTTACTAATATGGCGCCGCAGGAAAATCATGGCTTTCGTTTTATTTTGTAGTGATGCATCATTGTCTTCTTTAATTGTATTCCTAAGGCCCATGGCATCTAAATGGATCTGAGCATCCAGAATCCAAGATAAATAATTTTGCTAAATATGTCTAAGGCCACAAATTCCAACTTTGTCAAATTTGACATTTTCGGAATAACTAGAAGCAACAACAAGATAAAAATATAATTTAACATAATATATAAATGAATAAAATGACATTAAGTGAAACAATAACATAATATGAATTATTTAAATAACAAAGGTGGTAAAACTAGCCATAATGAATAAATTATTAAACAATAAATGTGGTAAAAATTGGTTATAAATTATTAAATAATAAAAGTGGTAAAACCGACCATAAGTAGTAGATCATTAAATAATAAAGGTGGTAGAACCGACCATAGTGTGAGCACATATATTATTTATGTGAACAAACTTATTTTATGAACAATAATTAATAATTAAAATTTTCTTACCCTTTGGAGTCAAAAATACTATTTTTTTCGATAAAACAAACCAACCTAACAATCTATCAAAACTAATATCACAAAATAGATATATAGTTGAGATAAAAAAAGGGAGAGAAAACTTCTTCTTCAAATCTCAGATGGATCAAGTTCGTACTGATAACGTGTAATAAATATATGTGTGTGTGTGTGTGTATATATATAGAGAGAGAGAGTAATATTATAAGAGAAATGAAAACAAAGCTTTAGTGAGAGAGAAAGAGAGAGAGAACAAAAAGAGAGAGAGAACAGGCTATTTCCTTTTATTTTTACACCACCATTTGTATACAAAATAAGCCTATTTATAGGCAAAGTTTTTGTTGGCACCAAGTACAAAAAGAAGCTTATACCATAAGCCTCAAAAAATTTCAACCTATATAATTGCATGTGGACCCCACATATAAAGTTGTATATATCCAATATTAATTAGAATTTTGTAGCTTAAAAAAATATTTCTTACCAAAATGATGAAACTTATATAAAATTAAATTATTCAACTTGAGGTGACATGTAAATTTGTTTCCTACTTAACTCTCTTGCATTAATAGTACTATTTGTTATTATTTTTGACACCATTAGTAGTACTATTTACTACCAATTTTTAAAATTTTTATTTATTTATGAGTGACATTTCATCATTTTTTTTTTTTTGAAAATCTCTTTATTTACCCTATTTGATACTCCCTCTGTCCCTTTATAATTGTCCAAGGGAGTATTTCACAATTTTTAAGGCAATAATTTTTATTATATTTTATTAGATTGACAAATGATGCATTTCCAAATTTGCCCTCCCTAAAAAATTATTTTTTCATTTACCGCCATTCCAAAAATTTAGCGCAAATCCAAAACAAAATGCAGTATAGGAGTATTTAAAAATTTTAAGAATTCTTTTTACCTCCAACTCATAACAAACTCCATCTCAAAACAAACTCTCTCTTCTTTACCGATATAGTTCTGCCACTTACCAAAATCTACACAGTCCTTGTGTTATTACACCAGGTGAGTTCATCTCCTTCTTTAACTCTCTATCTTTCTCATTCTTATCTTTATAGTAAATTTTTTTGCTACTATTACACTAGTAAGTTCATCTCTTTCTTTTACTCTTTATCTTTCTCATTCTTATCTTTATAAAATTTTCTGTCTTTTGACACCTACGTTTTCTTTCTTTCTTTAACTTTATTTGTTCTCAGGTTTCCATTTCAAATGGAAACTCAAGCAGAGAACAACTCTATTCGGCTAAAATTAAAAAAGGAACTAACGAACCAAGAACGTTAAGCAATTGCTGACATTCTATTGATGCAAAGTGAAAACGGAAAATTGAAAAGGCATACCATACTTGCCATAACCAAAATGTTTTCTATTTGTGCCAGAACGATTAGTCGAATTTGGCATCAGCTTGTGGAAAATCTTTCAAATGGGTTAGCAATTGATGTTTCCAGCAAAAAGCGGAACAGAGTTGGTCGCAAACGGTTGCAAGTTGATCTCAATAAGGTATCAGAAATTCCTCTCCGACAACGTACAAACATTCGATCTTTATCTTTTGTTATGCAAGTTGCTAAATCTATATTACATAGAAGAATTAAAGATGGCTTAATTAGACCACATTCAAATGCCTTGAAGCCATCTTTAACTGAAAAGAAGAAGAAAGCAAGGTTGTTGTTTTGTTTGTCAATGCTTGAGCAGTGTAGTCTTCATGACAGGCCAACTTTCTGCAATATGCTTAATTATGTTCACATTGATGAAAAATGGTTTTATATGTCTAAAGAGCCCGAGAAATATTATCTCCTTCCTGAAGAAAATGAACCCGTACGTACCTGCAAAAGTAAAAGGTTCATTACAAAGGTTATGTTTCTCACCGCAGTTGCTAAGCCACGATTTGATACTTCTGGCCATGAAGTTTTCTCTAGAAAGATTGGAATTTTTCCATTTATCTGCAAAGTTCCTGCCAAACGAAGTAGCAAAAATCGCATGGTTGGTACATTAGAGACAAAACCGATGTCATCGATAACTAAAGATATAATTCGATCATATTTAATTGAGAAAGTTCTACCAGCGATTCGAGCTAAATGGCCTTGTGGGGGTATGATGGAAACCATTTATATTCAACAAGATAATGCAAAACCACACATTGATCCGTTGGATGCAGAATTCCTAGAAGGTGCGACTAAAGATGGGTTTGATATATGGTTAACTTTCCAACCTCCTAATAGTCTAGATTTGAATGTTCTTGGTCTTGGATACATTAGAGCAATCCAATCGCTTCAATACCAACAAGCTCCCACTACCATTGATGAGTTGGTGGATGCAATAGAAAAATCTTTCAATGAATTATTGACAGAAACTCTTGATAATGTTTTTTTTTAACATTACAGGGTTGCATGATTGAAACAATGAAGGTGTATAGGGCAAACAACTACAAATTGCCACATATGAAAAAAAGTCAATTAAGGAATCATGGTAATCTTCCTTCTCAGCTTTACTATGAACGTGAGTGGTTGAAAATGCTCTAAGTCACCTAAGACATTGATCATCCTTTTGTGACAGCAATGTGAGTTTTTTTTTTTCTCTTGATACAGTATTTTGTGGTTTGTAGTTGTAATGTGAGTATATCAATATATATAAATTTATTTATTTTTTACAGGTTTTTGTAGTGTAATAAATGAAGATGGGTGCCTTGTTTTTCTTTTTAAAAAGAAGAAGACTTTGGTTTTAAATATGAGAGAATGTATTGTGTAACCTTGGGACTTTTGTAGACTTACTTTTGTTTTATACCCAGAATGTATTGTGTAACCTTGAGAATGTATTGTGCCCTGTTGTACGTTTGTAGACTTTTGTTTTGTATAAGAAGTTTGGGTATGTACTTACAAAAAATTGTAAAGAATGGTGTTAGAGTATAAATGAAAATGGGTGCTCTGTTTTACTCTCTTACCTTTTTATGAAGGGGTTACGTAAAGGAGTTTTTGTGTAAGAAGTTTGGGTACGAGTGGAGGGAAAAATTTCCCTCCAATGCAAATTTTTTTTGTAAAGAATGGTGTTAAGAGTGCAAAAAGAATCTATGTTCCATCTGTTTGAAAATGATTTGATTTTTAAGAAGAAAATTTTGGGTTACTTACATAAAGGAAGAGAAAATATTATGCAGTGTTGTCAAATAAAATATGGAATTTATTGAAGCTCAATCTCACTAAATTCATGCATACAAGTTGTACTTTATCATATTCAATGTATCAAGGCATTATATTTATTAGGGGTGGCAATATGGGTCAGGAACCATTAACCCGTCCATATCTGTCCGTTTTTTAATAGTTATGGGTGAACCATATTTAATTGAGGGTCAAGATGGGTTGAGTAATTTTTAACCACTTAATTTGAGGGTCAAGATGGGTTGAATATGACATATTTCACCCATCACATAATAAACACATAACACACATCATTCTATATTGTACTCAACTCATTTCTCTCTCTAAAATTTTCTCACGCACAATCTTCTCTCTATAAATTTGTCTCTTATCAATCCTCCCTCTCTAAGTTTCTCTCTCTAGAAATTTCTTCTAAAAAAAAAAATAATTTAAAAAATTAAAAATAAATTAAAAAATAAAAATTAAAAGAACATTGAACCGCAGGAAGAGCTGCTTCGGATGTGGATAGGAACGGTGGCCGGCGGTGGGTATTGCCGGTCCTCTGTGATCTGAGTTCGGCCAAGACAGATCCGGTGAAGAAGATGAGGTGAATGGAGGAGGAGAGAGGTTGGGATTTGCAGGGAGAGGATGGGATTTGATTGAGGGAAACTGAGGCAGCAGATCAGATCGGTGGTGGCAGAGATCGGCTTCGACACGGAGTTGCGACGGCAGAGATCTTATCTCTGTTGTTTGCTCAACTCGGTAGAGAAGATCGGCGGCGGCGGCGGCGGCGGCGGCGGCGGCTAGAGCAGCGGCGGTGATGGCAGAGATCGGCTTCGGCTAGGCAGATGAGATCGATGATGACGGCGACAGAGATCCGTGGTGGCACCGGCGATTTCGGCCTCTGACGGCGTCAGTGCTTGGATGCTATAGGCTGTGATGGACGTTGTTTGGTGCAACAGCGGTGACGGCTATGAGATGGTGACGGGCAAGCCTGCAGAATTTGACGTGGCAATTCCAAATTAAAAAGAAAATTAAAACCTTATAAAAAAAAATTTTAAAAATTAAAAATTAAAAATCCCTAATTACATCTTCCAAATAAAAATTTTCACAAATTGTAAATTTTTGTGTGCGTGCGCGTGTGGAAGATTTCTCTCTAAAATTATTATAATCCACCTGATCACATTGAATTTGGTTTTCAAAAATTTAATTATAAGAAGTAAATATTGCAAAAAGTAGCTCGGTGAGGTTTTAAGAGAAAAGGAGCATCATGCTCCGGTTCCGACTAGTTCTGCAACACCGGCAAAGGCACCAAAAATGTTCCCATCAAGTTTAAATAAAATAAAAAATAATAATTAATGGGTCCACGGGTCATAACTAGTTGACCCTATCCGTTTTCAACCCGCCTATTTTTAACCCGTTCTTAATGGGTTGAATATGGGTTTTGATCCATATTAACCCGCCCATTTTCAACCCAACCCAAACCCGACCCAACCCGTCCATTTGCCACCCCTAATATTTACAAAGCACAAGAGAAAAGGGCTCAAAACTGCAAAATCCAAGAAGAAGCCAATTTACGTCGACGCCTACTAAGCTTATGTCAACCGGTATCTAGGCAGTAACAAATTTTAAGATAAAGCTCAATAATGTCGACTGGTTTGCAATATACATCAACTGGTTTATGAAGAAGATGTCAACTGGTTTGCAACATACGTCAATTGGTTTGCAACATACATTAACTAGTTTATATAGAAGATGTCAACCGGTTTGTAGCATACATCAACCGATTCATGCATAGATGTCAACCGATTTATTCACATGTCAACCAGTTTGAAATTTTAATTAGTTTAATTTTTTAGGAGTAAATTAGAAATGTAATAAAAAATAATGTATTGATTTTTGAAATGTGACAACTAAAAAGGGACAACATAAAATGAGATAATGGATTATTAATAAGGGATGGAGGGAATACTATCCTCATCCCATAAAGAGTGTTATTTGTCAATTACTTTTGTGTGTCAGGTTCTCCAAATATTTTTGCGAAATGAGAGTGAGTACATACAATTTGTTAATTACTACAAAATTCTAAATGAAAATAATAATAATAATAATAATAATAATAATAAAATTATTAATTAATTAAAAGAGGAAAAAAAAAAATCAGTGGCTCATGTTCACTCGAAAGTCTGCATCGATCAAACAAAATCTCAAGATACGCGGATATGGTATATACCGCTGCTTCTCTTTTTCTCTCTCTATCTATCAGTCTCTCTCTCTCCCTCTTCACTAAGTAGTAGGCGGAGTAGTACCAGTAGCAGAGAAAGAAACAAAGAAAATATCATAGAAAATCAAAATGTCAATCGCATCTCTTGGAATTTCGAGGTTTTCGTCGTCTGATTTCAGTCGGGAAGTGGCTGCGAACTCGCATTGTTTCAATAACCAAAAGCATCATCATCATCACAGCAAGAACAAGAACAACCATTTATCTACTACTACTTCTTGTTCTTCTTCTTCATCTTCAAGTGCTTCTCAGCTCTTCGGAGAGAGAATTCGATTGAATTCTGGGTCGGTACTCAACCGACGCAAAGTGGGTCATCATCCTATTGTGGTTTCTCCCAAAGCTGTCTCCGATTCAAGCTCTTCCCAGACTTGTCTGGAACCTGATGCTAGCCGTGTACGGTGTACTCTCTCTCTCTCACACACACTCATTCGTTTGTAGTGCTTATGTTTCTTCTATTAATCATTAATTTTTTTCTTCTTGTGATTGTTAGGTTCTTTAGTAATTATTATCCATTTCTTGTATTTATTCTCATATATGATATATATGCATTTTATGTGTAATTATTGTCCATTTCTTGTACTTATTCTCATATATATATATATATATATATTATGCTTTTTATGTGTCACATTGCTTTTTTGTTTTAAATACATAAAATATGGTGAGACAGAGAATTCATGTGGCTGACCCATTCATATGGGAGTAAGACGAGACAAGAATGATGACGATGATACTGTAATTTAATTTCCTACACAGTCGAGAGTAATCCCTTTAATTTTTGGGTTGTTTTCATCTTGATGAAATGCAGCTTCATGTATATTATATGATACTATAACAATAACAGGTTTATGCTCGATAGTACTTCACTTATTGCAATCACAAGTTTTTTTTATTTTATTTATTTTTATTATTATTATTATTATTATTTTTTATTTTTTAATTGCATTGCTTGTAGCGGAGTTTGCAAACCATTTGAGAGTCCCAACCAAAAAAATTGCATGCATTACTTATTGCTACTTAATATTTTGATAGATTTTCTCTATATTAATCCTGACAGGATTTTACTCATTAATCTCCAAAATCATGTCAACATGATGGCTCGTAGCTGCCTAACCAGCACTTCAGTATGCAACAAAAATGGAAACACAAATAAGGAGCTCCATAAATTTCTCATGAATCTAAACTTCCTTCAAAAATCAAACCGCGCTCAATGAATGAGCTGTGACCATCTGAAATCCTTTGCTAAAATAACATCAGCACGCATTGATTAACATATGGATTAAGGTGCACCTCTGTATTCCCCCCTCCCTCCACTTCTCCGTAAAAATAAATGCGGATCAGATACCGAGCACTTGCACTATTTATTAGCTAATTATCTGTTTTCACAGTTGGTTTTGATTTACCATTAAGGTCTGGAGCTACCCAACATTAAAAGAGGTTATTTGGATGGGGATCTAAAATGAGTGTGGATGAAACACCATATGCCAGAGGCAATAAACTAGTGTGTGCAATTGAGAATTACTTAAATAGCCTCTTGATGTTGCATTCTATTTAGCAACCTTACAAGCAAGTTATCATCCTTGCAGATGCATGTCTAGTATCTGAAAAATAAAGAATTTCTAAATACAGATGCCTAAGTTCATTTTTACATTTTACTGTATGCACAGATGTGAATGTGATTGGAGCGACTTCAGAACAATAGCAAAATGAATTTTATCATTGATAAATCGGGTATGCATTCTCAAATTTTAAGGGGAAAATCAGGATGAACATAGGTTTGTTTGGTTCAGTTTTGGACTTAGAAAATAGAAAACTGATTTTAGAGGATTATAAAATATTTTATCTAAAAACATGTCCTTTTTTATTTATTTATCTGAGTTTTCAGAAAATAGTTTCATAAAACTGTCGACCAAATAAATTTTTGTATTTCAAAAAACTTTCCCTGAAAACAAAATCAAACAGGCCTGTACTTCTTTGCAACTTCTGCTGCAAGGTAAGATTTGAATTGGTTTTTTGATAGTTCTCTGCCCAGTTCTATCATTAGAGGTTAGAAAAAGGAAATTACTAATCTGGGGAGGTACATTTAAATAGCTTTTCAATTGGTTCAGGCATTGGTGCTCATACAATCTACTTTGTAGATTTTTTTTTGTTGTGTGTCTATGGCTTTGATATTTGTGGGCCCATATAGCTGTTAATAAAGAAACTATTAGTTTTTCACCCTAATTAGGATGTTTTATGCACTTTCAATGATACTTTGATTGGTACCACAAAAATATCGACCTTTTAGACACTACTTATAAACTTTCCTTTGTTTTTCTTATATTTCAGTTTATTGTTCTACTTTACCACAAGGTGGATTGAAGAACTAATGTTGTCTTGTTGATCATGCAGAGTGTTCTAGGAATCATTCTTGGGGGTGGAGCGGGTACACGTCTATATCCTCTTACCAAAAAACGTGCAAAACCTGCTGTTCCTCTAGGAGCAAATTACAGGTTGATTGATATACCTGTGAGCAATTGCTTGAATAGTAACGTAACAAAGATTTATGTACTCACACAATTCAACTCTGCGTCCCTCAACCGACACATATCGAGGGCTTATGCAAGTAACATGGGTGGGTATAAGAATGAAGGGTTTGTTGAAGTTCTTGCAGCTCAGCAGAGCCCAGAAAACCCAAACTGGTTCCAGGTAATGGGGAAATAAAAATATCAAATTATCTTTTATCTATCAGAGTGGATCCTTATTGAAACCTGAACTAGGTGTCACTAAAAGCTTGATACTGAATTGAAACGATCATGTCAAATATTTCAAGCATGCATTTTTATCAACTTGTGCTGTGAACTCAATCTTCTACTCTGTATTAATGATTTAGTTGTTTAGTAATAATCATCCAAAAATTTGGTGGAACATGTTTGATTGAACTGAAGAAAAATAGTTGGCATTCATTTTATCCTTTGCTTTTTCTTTTTCTTTTTTTTGAACTTTTTTCTTTTTCTGTACATGTGCTTCCTGTATGTCCGGGAGTTGTCACTTGATAGCTTCTGCCTTGGAATATACTGAGACCATAAAGCATCCTAAAATCTTATAATCTGGTTTATGTGATTGATTAATGTGTCAGTTTCCTGAGGTCAATGATAAACTGCAACAGTCACCGGTCATGAGCCTGTTGTGGCTTCGAGACCCCACCTTACCACATAGAGCCCAGATAGCATCATTGTGGGCACTCCACCTTGTCACGTGTCTCCATTATGATGGTCCGTATGGCATGATTGTACCCCATCATCTGTACTAGTACAAATGGGGACCTAGTGCATATTGAGGGTCAAGAGATACCAAAGAGAAAATCTGTGACTAACCATGACTGATATTCAAAAATAGGGAGAAAACGGAGATGATTATAAAATTAAAGTAGCATGGGTTAATTGGAGGAGTGTTTCTGGCGTATCATGTGATCGACCTATATCTCTAAAATTGAAAGGTAAATTACCTAAAACAACTATTAGACATATTTTATGGGAAAGAGTGTTGGACGGCTAAAGTATCAAATTCACAAAATGCTTGGTTGAAATAAGAATGTTGAAACGGATGTGGCAAAAAATAAAGAAAGGAAATAGTTATAAATGAACACATCAATTGGACAGTTGTAGTAGCGACAATTGGAGATAAAATGAAAGAAAAATCGATTCAGATGGTTTCCTAACTGCATCAACGAGGAAGAGTGATGTGTTCCACATTAAGGGTAATGCTAAGGAAAGAGATAGTTTCTGGGAAAAGGTATTGTTGTGTGGATTATATGGAGATCTGATTCCAATTACTATTATTGTTATTGTTATTGTTATAGTTATAAGTATTATTGTTATTGTATCTGATTCAAGTGCAACTAAGGGGAATTTGATCGCTATCTCTAGATATGGTATCTGGTAAATAATTGATTCTTTAGATATGTTTCATTGCATACCTTATTCAGTTTGGAGTCCTATTTACCAGAATAAAACTTTGATGAAATGTGTTTGAATTTATTCTTTTGTTCTTTTTTTTTGGTAAGTATACTCCTGTACTTAAGCAACTGGATAAAGCATACTTGATTTGATTATCTAACTGTGGTTTAGTTTTGGAAATTTTAGGGCACAGCTGATGCTGTCAGGCAGTATCTGTGGCTATTGGAAGAACAAAACGTTTTGGAATTTCTGGTTCTTGCTGGAGATCATTTGTACCGTATGGATTACGAGAAATTCATTCTAGCACATAGAGAAACTGATGCTGATATAACAGTGGCTGCTCTGCCAATGGATGAAAAACGTGCCACCGCATTTGGTCTTATGAAAATTGATGAGGAAGGACGGATAATTGAATTTGCAGAGAAGCCAAAAGGAGAGCAACTGCAAGCAATGAAGGTACACATTGGCAGCAATTTATAATTTCATTGCTTGAAAATTTCTTTTAATGCATATGATTGTTCTGTCCTTAAATTATTAAACAATGGGGCTGATGTTTTTCCTTCATCCCCTGTTTTCTGTTACATTTTCATCTCAGGTTGATACTACCATTCTAGGTCTCGATGATGAGAGAGCGAAGGAGATGCCTTTTATTGCAAGTATGGGCATATATGTTATCAGTAAAGATGTGATGTTGAATTTACTTAGAGAGAAATTCCCTGGAGCCAATGATTTTGGAAGTGAAGTTATTCCAGGAGCAACTTCAATTGGAATGAGGGTAAGCCTAATGTTATAGATGGTATTGTTATTGTTGTTTTGAGATGCTTTCATTAGGGCATGTACTGTCCTGTACATCTTGCAAAATAGTGCAAAAATATTTCCCAATAACATGATTAAACAATTCTGTTCTATACTTCTTACTGAGTTGCAATTAATTTGGCTAGGAAGGATGTTTTGTAGTTTGGCCTAGTAATATTATATAATGTTTTCATGTGATTTGATGGAATTAGTAAACACAATAAACATACCAAGTATATTATCCGACTAATTTATGCAGTGAGCATTATCAACAGTTTCATACAAGGTGGTAAATGTGACTTGTGTAGTTTAATTCTTTAGGAAATTTATGTAAATAAACTCATCTTGAAAAAAATTACTTTAGGTGTCTTTGGAAATTGGATCGGTCAATTTCTGTCTCCATAGAATTTGAATGCATAACTAATCTTGTATATGGAATTTTAACCATAAAGATGGTGAAATTTTGGAACACAGTCATTTCATGGAATCCTAAAGGCTGTTCTTGTGAATGCGTATTTACAGATGTGTGTAAAATTTTTAATATTGTGTAAAGCACATTGGACTGGTAGCACATGTCAAAATGTCGAATTACGTAATACAATTTGTTTCATGTTCATTGAGATTGCTGAAATGCAGCCCCTTGTTGATGTACCTCGTTTCAGTGCATTATAAGTTGAGAAGTTTACATACCAAATTATTGATATAATGTTTAATATTATTAATTGAAGAAAAAAAGATATAACATTACTTGTTGTAAATTCCAAGATTTATTTATCCTTCCTATGCATTAACGATGTAAAGATTCCGAGGGCTACAATTTTGTTTTATACTTCAGGTGCAAGCCTACTTGTATGATGGTTACTGGGAAGACATTGGTACCATAGAGGCTTTTTATCATGCAAATTTAGGGATCACGAAGAAGCCAGTGCCAGATTTCAGGTCAGTTGTCTTGATAAACAGTAGCAAGAGAATCAACCATTTATTTTTTCACAGGCATCATCTTAACATGGCTTGCATTTGTTTGACTTGATCTTCTGATGCAGTTTTTATGATCGTTCTTCTCCAATATACACACAACCCAGATACTTGCCGCCTTCCAAAATGCTTGATGCTGATGTTACAGACAGTGTCATTGGCGAGGGTTGCGTAATCAAGGTAGGTTCCTTTGAAGTTGTTTTCTCACATCTGTAGTTTGACAGTTGCACTGAACTAAGCCTGTTTAGGACTCCAATATCTCAACACTAAAATTCATCTTTTTTCGTGCAAGTTTCACTCAAGGGTGATAAGCACAAAGCTATGCCAAATGTTCTACCATGAGTTTTGATGCCCGTCTTTGAATATACACTTAAAAGTAGGATCTTACTAAACACAATAGATTGATATGGATTATGATATGAATTTGCTTGCGGTTGGGCAATTTGGATGGTGATTGTAGCTATACTGGAGATTTAGGTAAGATATTTGACCTACTGACTCTTCTTCTCTATGTAGAACTGCAAGATTCACCACTCTGTTGTCGGTCTAAGATCTTGCATCTCTGAGGGTGCAGTCATTGAAGACAGTTTACTGATGGGGGCCGATTACTACGAGGTAATTATCTCTAGAAAGTTTAATGACTGGTTATTTGGAGCATGAATGAAATATGATGTGTCTATGCTTGCTGAACAAGAACTTTGAGCTTTGCTATTTTGAAAATTATGTACCTATGTTTTTTTTTCTCCCAAGTAATTGTGTACCTAATATCAGTTATTGATGATCATGTTGTTATTGCCTCCTGCACCAGACTGATGCAGACAGAAGGCTTTTAGCAGCAAAAGGTAGTATTCCAATTGGTATTGGAAAGGATTGTCACATCAAAAGAGCAATAATCGACAAAAATGCTCGGATTGGAGACAATGTGAAGGTTGTGTTTTTATATTCTCTCTTTATTTTGTGTCACTTTTGCTGCTTATTTTGAATTGTAGTTTGCTAAGTTTTTGATATATATCTGGTTTCAGAATATGAAAAGTAATAACTCAAAGGACTTGGGTTGAAAGAAAAAATAAAACAGAAGGCCATAAGCAAAATGCTTGTTGTAGTAGTGTATTCAATGAATAAAGGATAAGCCATAATGATCGGACCTCACTTGGAAGGGCATGACCTAGGATATACAATGTTGTGTCAATTTTCTGTGAACTATATATGTATATTTTTATATAATATCACATTAATTATGGTATGTTTTGAAAGAAGTACCTGGAGATGGAGTTTTGTATCATCCTTTCTGGTATCTTTCATCATATCTCCATCAATAAACAATCAAACAATACAATGTATATATAGCAAGACTCATGAGGTTCAAGAATGGAGGTTAAAGCTCATGGTATATTACCGTCAACCCACTGAAATTAATAATTCAACATGATAAAAATGCTCATTTATCATCTTATGTGGCTGTCGTTGAACCTTACTTAAAACCCTAGTCAGTGGTAGTGAGTTAAAATAATGATTTCTCAAATAATAAACGATTTTAGACATCTGACCTTTTTTTTTTTTTTTTTTTTTTCCTTTTTCTTGAACTAACATGATTCAGATAGTTTAACAATAATGTTAAGCAAGTCTGCAGATTAAATGATACAAGATCTTCAGGCTCAATGGTTCTTGGGTTGCTCATTGTCCCAAGTTGTTACTAACTTATCCACTCAGAATGTGCTGTGTCCCCAAAGATAATGTAGCTAGAGAGTACATTTATCAACCTACTGCATCCTCCCCGAGGCTAGTTAATGCAAGACATACAGAAAAAAACGTTGTGGGGAACAAAGAAAAGAAGATTAGGTTCTGTTTTCTAGTATCCTCTTAATTTGTTTGTAATTCCCTTAACTCTTATATTTGATGCACACCAAGAACATAATAGAGATGCATGTTTGATAGTAGGGTTCCCGATTTTGAAATTTTCTTCGCATCACAAGAAGATAATGATATGAATGTAAGGTTTAGTTGGTTTTTATGGTCAATTATTATTGTTGCAGATCATTAACAGTGACAACGTGCAAGAAGCGGCAAGAGAAACAGAGGGGTACTTCATCAAGAGTGGGATTGTTACTGTAATTAAAGATGCTTTGATTCCCAATGGAACAGTCATTTGAGATCCGGATCACTATGCTCAGTTGAGACTTGGATAATTAATACCGAGTTCTGTTTAAACGCTTATTTCTTGATCTTCAAATGAGAAGGTAGAGTATCAAATTTTATGATCTTGGAACCATCATCTCTACTATGCTTTTAACATCAACTGCAACACTTGGAATTTAATTTTGGTTGAACAAATAGTGATGTTGGGGGAAAAAGGCAAAAAGAAAAAGTTAATTCATGTTATTTGACTATGCTCATAGTCCACTTGCACAGTTACACAAGTAACACAACAATATTGATTCCTCTTGTCTACATTAATGGCTTAGGAGTCCCATTTTGGGCATCTGCACATAAATCCCTTTCTCCCCATAAGACGCAGGGCGAGTCTTGAGATTTTCAAAATTTTGAGAGGTTTAGATGAACTTTCAAATATGAGCTTTTTATATATACGTGTGTTTGTGCCCTTTATGCTTGTTTTTGTTTTTTTTGGCCCATGTCCTAAATTTGAGGCCCTAGGCTTGGGCCTGTGGCCAATGGCCGGCCCTGATGAGACCTCTGTGGGTTGATAGTCTGCAAGTCCCAATAAGTTGGGGTTTGGATTCATATTGCTATCCAAACATTTCTTGAAAGTGTTACAACACCAACTAACGGTTAAACAGTTTTTGAAAGGAGAGAAAGCACCAAAACACCAACATTTGAAAGAAGAGAAAGTACCAAAACACCAACTAAATGGTTGTTCAAATGAAAGAAAGTACCTTAAAACATACTACGTTGATGGTTAGTCTTCTTTTTTTTATTTTCTTATTTTTGGCTGGCACCAAAACTCACCTGGGCAAGATTCCTTTGGGACCCACTTTAGGCTACAAATCGGAAATGTTATCGACAGTTTCACACCTCAGTAACAATTTCAGTCGAGAGTTATCATGTCGATGGATGGATTTGAACTTGAGACATGAGTATTTCTAAATTGTTACTTTACCAACTTGGTCAGTCCTGAGGGCACGTTGATAGTAAGTTATTGACTTGTTATTTAATAGTCCAAGGAACATAAGTTATCCTTTAATATGAGGCATCCGAGGATCACACTTGTCCCTTACGTAAAAGACATAGCATGATTTCATTTGGGCAAGCAAAGAGATTGATTTCCAAAGGTTTTCTTTTTTTTTTTTTTAAAATAAATTCAAAGTTAACTATAGCAACCGACAAACAATTGACCTCCACTTTCTTATCTTCGCAGGCTTTCCATCTAAGTAATAAGTATATATATATATATATATATATATATAGACACACACACACACATAAATGATCTATTAATAAGTATATATATACATATATGATCTATTAAGCAATGTATATATATGTATATATAAGAATGATCTATTGTAAGTTTACATGGTGACGGTTTAATATAGTACTTGCACATACGGTTAATTATCAAGATCGAAAGATTATATCATTGAACTAATTTTGCATGTTCAAATTCTCACCCTAAAAAAGAAAAAATAAATAAATAAAGTTTCAAAAGATAGCAAAAAAATTTTTTTTTTTTGGTTTGTTTGTTTGTTTGTTTTTTTAGCTTAGAAGCGACAAAACTCAATTGTTTGATTTTAGTGAAGTAGAAATTGCTAAAAACCAAAACGACCCGACCGACAAAAATTCACTGTAATTTACGGAATGGTCAGTGACCGACACACTGCAGATATGACCGACAACTAGGGTCACTTCTGATATCATCGACACACAGCTGATAGTGACTGCTCCTTCCCAATCAAAGCCAAGACTGAGAGAGAAGGGAAAAAAACCAAATATCAAAGGAACGTTGTAAGATGATTACCCAGACCCACCAGCATATAATTCACGTGAACCCTTTGGAATATATATATATATACACACACAATATATGTATAATATTATGGCTAGCAATAGATTAGTGGCAACGTGGCATTCGATGCAGCGGACGTTTGTGGCTTACGAAAGCCGCAAATTTAGTCACTTTGTATGGAGCTAACTAATAAATTGGAGAAGTGGGACCCACCAACCATGTGACTTAATCAACCTAATCACAGCTGTTGAGTGCAACATCCCGGCTGGGCCACAACTGTGACCATGTGAATCTCCAGCTCTCAATTACTACAACAGCGTGTTAAAAGTGGTGGGGTGTGATCTGGTCTATCTATCTATACTGCCCAACAAACAAAAATCCATTCCATGGATGATGTCACGCTACCATAAAATGGTGAAAGTGAATCAATCTGACAGTCTGGGAGAAATTATCTCACGGTTTCAGCCAATTATTATTAAATGGGTGAGTATAAAAAATTAAATAAAATTTATATATTTTCAACACAATTATTTATGTGACTAATAGTGATAATAATAATTTCAATATCATGTAATAACTTCTTGTAATGTATATGGTTTACTATGATCCGATTTTGAAATGAATTAGAATCAAATCAGTTCTAACAATTTTAGAAATATTAAAATTGAACCAAACTGTTATAAATGGTGGGACCAAACTAAACCGTAAATAATTGGTCCGATTTGGTTCTATAGGTTTAGAGACCTAATATATATTTTTTTCAAATTAGAATCGAACCATTGTCAATAAAAGATCAGTAACACTTATAGTTCAAACCAAAATAGGACTGCTATCAATCATTCTTTAATTTTTAGAATAAGCACTGAACAATTTCATCAAAGAATCAACAATTTCATCAAAGAATCAAACCAAACCGTACAGTTCAGTTTGTTCATCAAAGAATCAAACCAAACTGTACAGTTCAGTTTGGTTCAATCCAATTTACCAGTGCTAATGCTTCTTTCTTTTTTTTTAAACCCCCTAAATTTATCAATAACACAAAGTTGTAGACTAATAATATTTCTCGGTTCAAACCATTGAACTTTTCAAGATAATTCTCAACCACACTTACTGCATGTACTCACTAGATACATGCACAGTAACAGATACATGAATAAATCCAAAATGCACAATGAACATGACATTAATTTAATTCTAACACACCTCTCTTAATGCCATGTTATGACACCCAACAATTCTTTAAAGTATTCAAACTTATTTTTTTAAAGTGCTTTGGTAAAAATGTCTACAATTACTATGACAAAGAATTCCATTTTCTATAGTCGCATAAGAAACACAGCAATCAATAACACAAAATTGTAGGCTAGTGATATTTCCCGTCCAAAGTAAAAGATTAAAGATTCAAGTTGTAGAGAAGGTAAGCTTTTTAACAAGATATTACAAAAAAAAAAAAAAAAAAAATCAATGAGAGTGAAAGTAAGAGATTAAAGATTCAAGTTGCAGAGAAGGTAAGCTTTTTGACAAGATATTACCAAAAAAAAAAAAAAAAAAAAAAAAAAAAAAAAAAAAAAAAAAAAATCAATGAGAGTGAAAGCTTTTTGACACGATACTTGAAAAAATATATATCAATTTACCAATACCGGTTTTCGTCCAATTTATCCTTTATGGCAAAAAAAAAAAAAAAAAAAAAAAGGGGGGGAGGGGGGGGTAAATTACACAGAGACCCCCTGAGGTTAGGATATATTTCAACTAGATGAAGATTTTGGTTTTAGTTTTCACTTATATTTGGATTAGTGGTTTAGTATTTCATTCACACCCCAAATGTCATTTTTTATGGGTGGGCAGAGTACTTTACACGCAAAATGACTATGTTGCCCCCTTTGACTAATTGTTGACTTACAAGTAGGATGTTTTAATTTTTTTAGGACAAAAATATCCTTCACCCACCTTACCCCTCTCTACGTTCATCTTCTCCAAAACCAATCAAGAATGTTACAGACCCATGGCCGCCACCTCCAAAACTAGTCACCACCACCAGTCACACTCGCACACATACAATATTTTCCTCTCCCTCACCAAACCTTAATTTATACACAAAATTAATAAATACAGTCAAACACACATATATACACTATATATCTAAATACACACATTATATATCTATGTGGTGGTTGTGTGTTCAAGTTTTCTGGAGAAAATGGGTTTTTGCAACATTCAGAAAACCCACTGGCTTGAGAGAGAGGAGTCTAAAAGCAAGACCCACCAAGAGAATCGAAACCCCCAATTTCACAAGCAAGTGGTTGTCTTTCATCAATAAAATTGTTAATATTATTGCGTTTTTTATTTTTTTATTTTTTATTTTTTCACAGGGATCTGCCGGAAAAGATTACGGTTTGATGGGTTTTGGGTTTGTGGTTGCCGGAAATTAATTTGGTTAACAATGGTTCGAAGATTTGGCGAGTTCTCATGAATTAATACAATCGATTTGGGTTTGATTTAGAAGAGCCTTGAACACCACCCACCCAAAACCTCCATCACCACCCCCACCACCACCTACCTAAAACCTCCATCACCGCAACCCCCAAACACCTCTATTACCACCGCTCCCACCCAAAACAAAACCCAAAGCCACAAGACCCAACTGAAACCCAGCACATGAACCATGTCGTTATGAACCTGCCGTCGCCATGAACCACGTTGTCGCCGTGATTAAACCTGAACCTCGTCGGTGCCGTGATTAAACTTCGTCTCCATGAGAAGCTAGGGTTTTTAATAGGTCAAGAGGTTAGTGGGTTTGAGCTTGTCGACGGCGAAAGAGGTGAAGATTTTGGCGACCCAGTTTCAGCGATTGCAAACACCCATGGCGAGAAGACCTGAGCATGAACGACCCAACGGTGGTGACCAAACCGGACGGTGAAGAAATACCCAGTTGCAGCTCCATCAACGTGAAAACCAGCGGAGATGGTGAAGCGGACTGAGTCACGTGATGACCGACGACTGATTTGCCAACGGTGAGGATCTGAATTTCGAGGTCGGCGGTGATGTACGACAGTGAGCCAGCGATTCAAGTGGAGGCGGCGCTGCTCGGCGACGATCATGATTTGGTTTGTGACGATTTCGGCCTGTACAAACAGTGTTTATATATATATATATATACATACACTATATAGGGACCTTTTTGTCATTTAGGATTATATATATTTTATATTAAAAAATTGAGTGTAAAAGGGTCAATTCGCATGTGTTAAGGGCCAAAAAGTAAATTGAAGTATAAGTGAAAGTTAAAACCAAAATCTTCGTCTAGTTAAAATATGACCAAATCTCAGGGAGTGTCAGTGTAATTTACCCAAAAAAAAACCGCATATGCTCTATAAAGCTTGCCGACCAGTATTATAACTTGAGTGCTCAAATTGATGATGTCTTGCATTGCATTCCCAACGGTCGGTGCGCAATGATTATTATAGTTGCAACCAATACCTTGCTGTCTATTTAATGAAAGCAATTTTGAATAGCTTTGTTCAAAAGCTATTGCTACATTTATTTAGACCAACCAGTGGTTGTATAAAAGGTTAAGCAGTAAAAATGAAAAGGAAAGGGCAAAAAGAGACCTGCCCATGCATATTAATTTCATAATCCCACTCTTTTGATTAAACAATGTACATATATAGAAAATGACATGGAAGTACACTTTCTTAAACTCTTTCCTGCCTATATCAAATAAATCAAGTATTGACCAGGAAGTATTGCAAGGCTGTAAGCTATTCATTCTCATTTCCAAGGCTTCTGCCATGGCCTGAAGAGGGTCAAATGTACATAGACTAACTTCCGCACGCCGGTCACAATGGAGCAACCTTTACATTGCACTAAGGCTCACCCTCTTTATTTATTTTAACTAGGATGAAAATTAAAATCAATAACTAAACCAACACCTTCCCATCATACTACCTGAGCTGAAACCCTAGGAAACAAGGTAGTCTCCCAAAAGAAAAAAAACAAACAAAAGTTTGTACATCTGGATTTTTTTTGGCAGTTCAAAATGCTAAATAAGAGACAATTGAAGATCATGAACCAAACGAATACCAAATGATTCTAATATATCAATTTCTTCTCACATACAAAATCTACAAAGTACGCAGCAATGAAGCATTGTGATTCATTTCTAAATTCAAAGATTTTTCTTCGTTATCCAATGTATGTATTTGCTTGAGAAGGATCGCTGGGTGGGGGAGTGGGGGGTGCAATACAAGGGAAAAAAAAAACTTATACTTCGTAGAACCTGCAATTACTGGCGCAAAGGATACCAAAAGAGGAGCTGCGGTGAAGCTAAAAAAATATCATATACATGACCTCGAGGAGATAACGTACTGCTTAATGAATTATGGCCAAAAAACTAGTTCCCATTCGTTTACATGTACATCTGCACTTCAGCGTATCTGTAACAAAGGATGCCAATTGCCGATAATTAATATCTCACACTAATCATGGCTTCAAAAATCTACAATGCTCTCAGAAAAAAACTAAAAGAAAATGTAAAGCAAAAAAAAACTAAAAAGTTTTTAATTAGACAAAAATATAACCACCAAAAAAAAAAAAAAATAGTGCAAAGAGTCACACTGACCTGTAAAAATATATGTCAAAATGGCACTGGTAGGATGTTTATGCTCTAAAGAGTCAATGAGAGCCATTTTATGGATTAATGTTGCACTCCCGCAAATACAAATGCTCATAATCAACATGTTTTGCCCAGTAGCTTCGGAACTTGGGTATGCCTATCTCAAGCCATGGTTTCAAGTTGCCATTGTAGTGTATGACAGCAGCTCTTTCGATATCCTTCTGGCTGACATTTGGGTTGTAACCTAGGCCCAGTACATGCCAATTCCGATCAAGGGAATAAGTGCGTTTCCAAAATGTGATTAGACCAGGTGGCAGGGTCCCCAATTTCCACAACTGTCTGTCATGATTCTGCATACGAAACAAGTTTGGCTTCAGAATTGTCAACAAGATTAAAAACCCAGAGCCAAATTTCAGGCATTACCGCCCCCACCCCGTGGCAAGAAAAAAAAAATGACACCAACAGGTGATACTTTTTGACGTAATAATGTAGTAACAGTAAACTTGTCATTTCAAAATAAGATTTTGCTACACTCAAATTTGAACCTATATTAAGTGAAGGGATTAATATGATTATACCACTTCAAATGATGCGAGGAACTGTGGTTAGGTAAAACTGACTAGTGTTTATATGGTGTTGCACTGCATGACAGATGCGCACCTTAAGTCTTCAGTTTTATTATTCATCCACATTATTTTAGGGATTTCATTTAATGTGGTCCTTTTAAGTTATAATGAAATTCATAAAATTAAGACAAACAAGAGAATTGTCTATCCAAAAATAGCCTGCAAAATATCTCTTACCAGTTTCTGCCATGAGTGGTACACCTCCGTGATATTTTGTCTCTTCCATTCCTCCAAATCAAAGATATTCATTCCAAATGCCCATCCACAAGCACGGGGTTCAAATTGTTTTGAAATGAGAGGATTTGAAAAGTTGAGATAACGATCAAACCGATGGAAGCTTTCTCCACAAGTTTCAACCACACCAATCACTTTCCCATGCAGATCAAGGGACCAGAGAGCAGTGAGATCCTTCTGCACCACTATATCATCATCTAAGAACAATACTTTATTGAGCTTGGGGAAGATCTCCGGCAGGTAAAACCGGAGATGATTCATGACTGAGAGGTACTTTGGGTTCCGAAATTTCAAATTTGAATCAGAATCAGCACGACGAGTCCTAAAGTAATAATCTATCATGGATGGCGACCCCAACTGCTTGAGAACCGGACTATAACTTGAATTTAACCATGTAAATTCTTCAACATTTTGCACCTCTATCGTAGCTTTGCCTGGAGGGTTTGCCAGAAACCACATCCTCATTGCTGCATAATTGAGCCTATCAGTAACAATGTGGATAACATGCTTTGAAGGATCCTGTCAAGAACACCATGTAATGTTAACATAAAAATATTTTAAGATGTCAACCAAAAGCAAATGTTTCAGATGTTGATATTAATTGATCAATACCCCATTTGTCAGCTTATAAAACAAAGGAATAGAGGAAATTTTGAATTCTTAATGAAGACCATTAAAAATTGTCTTTCAACCCCAGCAAACCTAATCAGCAGGTGACAATTTCATTAACAAACAGATCATACCTTGGCATGGGAAACTGTTGAGTTTACAACTGCTGCTGCTGCCAATATGTTATCTGAGAATAGTGCATAGTGGTACAGACTGGGGTCTTCTAGTTTATCTTGGTTCGGGAAGTGCTGTTCAGACGAATTCAAGCTGAAGTACTCGGTTGAAAGGCGCAAAGGAAGACAATGAAGACCTTTAGGAAGTGTTTTAGCAGTTAAATGTGTCAAAAACACTGTCTGCTTCTTGTGGACTCGCAGCTGCTCTTCTGAAGAGTGAAGCATGGCACGAAGCTTCTTTACGACAGCAGTACAGTCGTCTTGAATTTGCTTGCCTTTTGCTAATGTTTGCTCCATTGCCCTCAATTTTTCATTGGCACTGCATTTAAATTGCGAAACACACTTATTGATCACACACACACACACATATATATAGAGAGAGAGAGAGAAGAGAAGAGAAAATAGGATGCAAAACTTGAAGCATAAGGAATGTTACATTGCTTCATTCTGAACAAAGAATCTAATAAGAATATCAATTAGCCATTTGATGCATTAAATTCTATTACAAAAGATGGCAAAAAGACATACTTTCTTGGTAGGTCAGAATCCTTGCTAGCATCTCCAAGCACTCGTTGAACTTCCTTCATCCGTAGCCTGAGCTCCCTTATAAAGTGAGCATTGTTTCTTGTAGCTGCAAGGGAAAGGTATACCCTTCCCCTGATAAGCTGATCCTTAAGCTGCCGAACACGAGCATCTGGAAAAACTGTTTGATCATTCTGTTTCTCACTTTTAGTCCTTATAGGTTCTTTGATTGCAACTTTCGCAGTGGTTCGGGAAGATGGTTGGTCACGTTTTATTTCCTGGGACAGCCAACCAAAGGAAAGAAAAAAATTACATCCAAAATGTGAATATAGTTGGAATATCATTTAAAGAATAACTAGTGAAATTTTATGTTAATTATCCTTTGAGCAGAATCAACAGTTCAGTAAAAGATGTGTGGTTAAAGATCAAACAGGAATAAGGATATATAATATTTAAAAATAACGCTGTTTCATCCAAGGAATGTTATTACTATCAAAAGTCTGAGTTTGCATAATGGTAAATCAAATCATCAATCACGAAAAGTATCTTTGATTTTTAAGCATTAATTAAGGAATTAAGTTTGCACAATGCTAATTTTCTTGATATGGTACATCAATTATTTTTTAAACTTAACATGGTCATGACAATTACTAGTCAAATATTTCAGTTCAAAAAGTCTGGAAAAACCTTCAAACAAGCCTAAAATTTTAGAAAGTACTATTATTACCTATCGTAATACTATAAATTTTAGACCAAGTCAGATCAACTATAGCCAACCACTCCGACGGAGTGGTTTCACCCTCACAGGATGACCATTTCCAACACCAAAAGAAAATAGCTACTACAACAGAATTCACTAGAAATAGATTGCAAAAGAACCCTGAAGCAAACAACAAATTTAACCATGCACCATCCAAATCTTTCATCATAATAACTGTACTCAGAAGCACGAAAGGAACCACACATTTATTTCAGACCCAAAAATGGAGCAATGAAATGGATTTTAATGCTGGCTACTCCTCAAAAGGAGTGAAATTGATAGAGTAATAAAACAAAAAGATAACAAGAACAATAAAAAAAAAAAACACGTAAAAAAGCAAAGACATTATTTACCATGTTCTTAGTGGCAACATCCGATTTCTGCTCAGATGCCCTTGATTTCACTTCTTTCTCCTTGTCCCTTTGTTTCTCCCCGCCTTCCTTTTCGCCTGTTGGTTCAGCTTTCAGAGAGATGTTGTCACCCTGATTTGTTTCATGAACTCCATCAGTCACCTGCTTTATCGGGTTAACCTCTACAGAATGGTCATCTCCACTGGTTTGGTGCTCCATTGATTCTGGTAATTGCAGTTATAAATTATTGGCAAACAAAAATAATAAGAATTAAAGGAAACATGAACTAAAAGGCCATTGACCCAAATTCTTTAATTCTCAGAAAGCAATCCCAGCTTAGATTAAACAGGGCATCATCTGAAATCAATTCAAAGCTTGGAAAAAAACAAACCAACCTTCAGTGAGTTGTCTACTTTTGTGAGTGCTCTCTCCATCGGAATCCGAAAGAGATTTGCTAGAATTCTCCGAATAAACAATCCCCTGTGGCTCTTTTAGGGTTACTGATAACTCCTACACACGTTTAAACACATTCAAACAAATCAAAACGGTAAGGATCTGAAATTTCAGAAGAAGTACAGAGAAAAAAATGATCAAATTATGAGATCTTCACCTGCGGGAGTACATTGAGTGGCATGATTTCCCCACCGAATGTCTGCACATAAAATAAAAAATCAAAAATAAATTTAAAACCAATTTCTAATTTTGGTTCCAATTGAAGTCAAATAGCATCAAAACTTCAGTAAATCGTCAACTCACAAAAGTCGAAACATCTTCTACAAATTCACTTCTAGCTGCAAAAGAAAAAAAAGAAGACGACCACAAATTAGCTAACACATAAAACCAAATCGATTACTTAAATCAAAAAAGCAAGTGAATTTGAGATAATATCGAAAAAAATAGAGGGAAAAAAATGAATAATGTTAGCACGAATTAGGGTTTACAGCGGGAAGTCTTGAAGCTTAGTGTGTCAGTGTACAGAACAATGGGGGCTACAACGGTGACCAACAGCAAGAACACCACCGGCTTTCTCAGCTTCATCTTTCGCTCCACCACCACCACCACCACCACCACCGCCCCAAAAAACCCTAATTACAAGACCAATCTGCAAAATCAATGAAGCAAATCCCTCTCTCAAATCGAAATTTTGCTTTTCTTCAAGCCACGCGTTAGTACCAGAGTAGAGAGAGAGGGGTCGGATAGATAGAGAGAGATGAGGATGTGGTAATAAGAGAGAGAAACCACAATCACTGGCTCTTCGAGAAGAGAACAAAAACACTGTTGTTGTGAATTTACATTCACTGTTGTTGTTGTGAATTTACATTCAAAGTAAATATATAAATATAGAGAGAATTAATATAGCTTGCTTCGTAAGAAATTTTTTCTTCACGCCATTTATATGATAAGCATTATATATGGATATGATTTAATAAGCTTTAAAAATTAAGACCCCTAATTTAATAAGTGTTAAAGGTAAGAGAAGTGTTAGGACAATCGCCCTTCTAATTGAATTACTATTTCTTAAATTACATTGATTAATTTACATGTCTCTTACAAACATTAAAAATATAAAATTTTAAGATAAAAAGAGTCCTTTTAATGTATATTTTTCTCCCCACGGTTGATTACATGTATATATATTAACAATATTATGGGAATGGATTCTTTTCTTTTTCCTTTTTTAGTGGTTATGTAGATGGATCAAGAAAAGTAGAAGGTACTTTTGTCCTAAAAATTTACATTTTTAATGTCTCATGAAAAATAAGAGAATAAGAGACATGTCATTAATGGACATATAATTTTAAGAATTGTTATAAATTAGTAGAGTAATTGTACCGACAGTCCCCTAGCACCCCTCATACAAAAGAAAAGGCATCTCCATGTGTATAATTTTTTTTTTTTTTTTTTTTTTTTTTTTTTTTGTAGATAATACAAAAATTTTAAATTCTAAAATTTATTAATTAGTTAATAGAATGAATGTTTGGATCCCATATAATTTTTACAAATCTATTTAATATAAAATTAATTAATTAATGAAATAAGAAAGAGAAATGGGAAATAAAATATGTTAAATGTAATTATGTAAAAAGTTGTATAAAATATATAATAATTTTATACATTTATTACCGTGACAGTGCATCTAATTTATACACGGAGAGAGATAGATAGATATATGTATGCAACAAATTACTAGTGAATAGTGATAAAAATAAAAAGAAAGTGATTTGGGTATGATGTGTGACTTTTATGAGAGAGACATAGACAACGGTTAGCTATAATTGTGGTATAAGAAAAATATAAGTAGGATTGAAAAATATAAGTAGGATTGAAAACATCGACGACCAAAGAAAAATGTGGCGTTTGCTTCAAAAAAGGCAAGAAGCGCGTTAAATTACTACACAAGGACGTGATGATCACCTAGATGGAGAGAATAAAGTGGCTCAACTTAATATGGCTGTGTCATTATTAAAAGGAAGGACTACTCATCATCCGTTGGGCCCCACTTGCATATTATTGCCTCGATTAATTTTTCCTATAAAATAAAGATTTTGATCAAAATTTCCGATCACTCTTAGGTGGCATTACCAGCAGTTCATTAAATATGACTAGTTTCTCCATTTAAGTGTGTTTTTGAGGAGTAGTTATTTTTAAATGGACATGCATCATCTTCTTAAATAGTTATTAAATTATCTTTTTAAAATTTGAATATTCAAGTTTTACACATATATGGAAAGATGTAAAATATATAGTTTGAAAAGAAAAAATGAACAATTATTTTGAGACAAACAAAATAAAAAAAATGACACTTATTTTGAGACAGAAGAGGTCCTCACTAATTGCCGTTGATTAATAATAAATTGACATATGATTTTTAATTACTAATTTAAAGATGGTGGGTAGATATTCACTTACCAAATCAAAAACTATCTATGATTTGGTATTAAAATAGGACGTGTCAATTTATTATTAATTTACATCAGCAATGAGTATGTTTAGATTCTCAATAGGGAAAACCTAATTATTAACCCTTTTTTTTGGGGGTGGGGGGTGTGGAAATTGTTTGTTAAAAGATAACTATATCACAATACAATAAAACATAATCACAAAATGCTGAAACTTTTCTAATGATATATTGTACATTGTATTATGATGTTATTACACTATTAAATTAAAATTTTAACATATTTATATAATTATTTTGTCAATTCAAAATAATAGCATTTAGTACAGGACATGCTCGTAATGATATAAGCGGATCTGATTCTTTGATTATCTATGTGACGCTAGAATATGATTTAATAGTATTGATGTGACTATCTTAATTTTACAAGTCAGTGCGTCCTATGATGATTCGTAAAATGACTCGAAACGGATCTGAAATACAGAAGCGAAGATATAAATAAGGTCTCTAGAAACTTCATTGTTTTTGTAAAATGACCATTTTACCTTTGGGACCATAATTAGTCTATTTTCAACCTTTGTTTTTGTTTTCGCTTTCGCATTCCGGATCTGTTTCGGGTCATCTTACAAGTCATCACAGGACGTACTGACTTGTAAAACCAGGATCGTCACAATTGAAAAGAGTTTTCAACACAATTTAATTTATTTTAATTAACACATTACTTTAGTTGTGTTGAAAACTCCTACAACATGATGCATTGTAGACCGAAAATATTCATGTAATATATTTATTTTTGAGAATAAAATTCTTAAATAGAGATTAATGGACATTAATTCAAGAATGCAACATATTTCATAATAATTATATCTCGATTTATTAGTGTTAAATCTTTAGTTTAATGATGTTCTGTAGTGTGGCAGTCTCGATTTAATTGTATAGTAAAATACAATACACAAACGTGTAAGAAGGAATCCAAGTTCAATAATTGACAACAAGAAGAAAAAAAAAAAAAAATCTTTAACCTTTGAATTAAAAAATAAAAATAAAAAGTTACATCAACTTAAAAGGAAATTTAAGTTAGAGGATCTAAGTAGACTTTGGCATATTATTTGAATTTATTTTTAGGTTTGATGAACGACAGATTGAGTTCTTACAAGATGTCAAGCAAGTTGGATGTGCTAAGCTCCATCCATCTTCTAATAATTTGTCATTTAATTATAAGAAATAGTTGAAACATCTTGTTCAGTAATTATTTTAAGTAAAATTAAGTATTTTTTAAAAGATTTTTTTCTTGCATGATCTCTTATTTTGAATTAATCAATGTATGTGGGCCAATTGATTTTTATTCCACGTGACATCATACCATTATACAAAGTGATCATACATATAAAGACTCTCACTCTCTCTCTCTCTCTCTCTCTCTCACACACACACACACACACACACAGACACTGTATCGCTTTCTTTTCTTCTTTGTAATAAACTCATCCACACATACAAAGTGATCAGATTCCATTTATTTTTAAAAATATAATATATATATTAATGCCCTTTTTTTATTTCCGATAATCCAAACATTATAGAAACTGTTTAAACTCTAATTGAAGTTCAATATTTTGAAGAATGAATAAGTAAAGTAAATTATAGTGACAAGAATACAACGTCTTCGTATATTTCTCATAAATTACATTCATTCTCTATTTATTTTTATTTTTTTTTAATTTTCAATTTAAATTAATTATTTTTGGCGTGTTGTAAGACATGGTCCATGGATCAAAAAAAAGAAAAAGAAAAACAAAAAACAAAAAAAGAGGCTAATGCATTGTACATTGTCGGCAACAAGAAATTTCAGTTGGAGGATGTACTTGGAATATTACTATTTGGATTTCATTTTAGGAAAGGTGCGATGTCCTCTGTTCGCTAGCTCCATCCATCTTCTAATCATTTGTCATTTATACAGTATTATATACACACACGTATATACTTTCATGCACACTTTAAGAAGCATGTGTATCATTGTAGCTATAGTCCACGAAACACAAATTTGAGCCTCCATGATGTAACTTTCCACCATATCACTACTTCTCATGAAATCTCATAAATTTGTTTCTAATTATAAAATTTTCAAGAATTACAAAGGAAAAAATAAAAAGAAAATGAAAACCACACTTCAGCATTTTCATTGTGGTGTGAATTTTGTTTTGGTTGCTCACTCGATATTTTTGAAAGCAGTATAGATTTTCGTCGAATCGTCTAAATCTTTATATTATGTGTATAGTTATGAATGACTAGAGAATAACTATATATATACAATACAACATTTTGTGATATGGATGTCTTCAAATTAATCTTTGATGTGTATGGCACATAATTTGTTGGTTGATGAAGCAACGTCAATGTTGACTTATTTGTTCTTGCCCCCATCTAGTGAATTGACAAGTGTTGGGACCTCGCAGCTAAAACATAATCTTCACGCTAATGAGATACAACTGAGTTGAGGCACTTGGTATATATATATATATATATATATATATATATTGTGTGTATGTGTGTGAATACATAATTAATGTTGCTACTGGTGCTGGAGAATGACAATATATATATATATTGCACTACTAGTAACACAGTTCCTAGCTCATTGGGACAGGCTATTCTGTTTAACCTTCTAAAGATCAAGCAAGAAAAAAAATTAATTACATAAGAATACAATTCCACATGTTTGTTTATTCTTCATAGATAGCAACTAATTTATTTATTGAAACACCATTCTAACAAAATATTAAACCTTTGCCGAAGTACGTAGCTTGGCGCCATTTTAGCTCTTCCTGCGCGCCATCACTGCGATAGGACTCCTCACATGGTGCTTCCCGTCAGACCAAACAATCCCTCCGAACACATACTGACCGTGCAAAATGTCTCCCTTAGCCTCAAGAGTGACCTTGAACATTTTCTCTTCTCCCAATTTCTCGAACTCTAGAGACTCAGGCTTAACCTTTACTAGTATTCCTTTAGGCATATCAACGCGAACTTTGTATGTGCCTGGAGTTCCAACATTCTTTAAGGTTCGAGTCACTGTTTTCTTGCCAGAAAGTTTAGGGACACTGATAGAAGGATAGTTGAAATCTGTGAGACTTTTGGGACTTTTGGGACATTTGTATGGTTCTTGCACAAGCTTTGCCAGTTGAGTCTTATTATAGTCAATGGCGCACAAAAAGTTCATGTAATCAGTGATGTTCAAGTCATAGACCAGCCCCGGATCCATTGCACTGTTTGGTCTCACATGTCCCGCTCCATAGTTTAAAGGGCTTGCCTTGGCGAATGAAGCATTCGTAATAGGTTGTCTCACATTGCCTCTGGTTCTAGCTGAAATGTCAACAAATGAAACAACAACTAGTAGACATTAGTCAATCATATTGAGATTAATTAGGGACACTGCTCGGCTTACTAAATAGGCAAGGGGCACAAACCAGTAGTCATGATTGCGGATTTGATAGCAGATGGACTCCAATCAGGATGCATGGTTTTGAGAAGACCTGCAATGCCCGAGATGTGAGGGCATGACATAGAAGTGCCGGAAGAGATGCCAAAGGCAACGCGACGCTCATCAAATTGTAAACGTGAAGGACCTATTGCTGCTGTTGTGGCAGCTAAAATGCCCACTCCTGGAGCAGTGATGTCCGGCTGAAGATAAAAATGACCATAAGAGTTGGAAGTTTTTTTAATTTTTGGTGTCACAAGAGTAAAATCAAATGCACAACCACAATAGGGGGATTGGATTCCAAAGGAAACTCCGAATGAAGTGTGGCTAAATATTTGATAGATGCCATTTTAATTAGTGGAAGCTAATGCACAAACTATAATATACAAACTTTGGCATCAATAATACATATACAAAATTAGGCAATTAACATCTTATTAGTATGTTCAACTCTGGCTCAGCTGTGGCTTTGCTTGTTTGATGCAATGACGCATTTACTGTTCATTAGTACTTGCTGCATATTCTTATAGCTACTCTTATTTGGTATAGTATTTTGCTTGTTTAATGTTCTAATTCACTTTCTTTGGTTATGCACATCAAGGGATAAAGCTTTCATATTCTGATATTCGTTACTATTCTGTGCTTGCATTTCATTTCTAGTCTCATTTTAGGAACGAAAATCCGATAAATTTAACAGGAATAAAGCCACAGATTTTCTTGAATACCCACCTTAAGGATCTGTGGAGTGATTGTATTAGGTCCAGCAGAGGAGAATGCCGCCATAACTGGTGCTGGTACCATGCCTAGTTCTGTTGCACCACTAATATAAGCTACCGGTGACCTGAACAAGACATATTTCTCAAAAATTAACATACCTAATATAAGTTAAGCAATGTATTTATTTATATTTTTTCCCCATTAGCTTGACCTAAAAAAAATGACTCTTTTTGGTAAGTTATGAAAATGACATACTCTGTATTATATATGTAGGACAAAATGGCTAGGCCATCAGCTGCAGAGACGTGTGAAGTGGGGAGGAAGTGGGCTTCATAAAAGACTGCATCAGTCGCAAGCTGATTAGCCAGGATCATTCCGACACCACCTGCCTGAGCAACCACGAAGCTCTTCTCGATTCTTGAGTTCACACCCCGAAGGCAGTGCACAATCTTCCCTTTCACCTTCATTGGATCAAGGGATCCAACAAAACAAAGTTCTCTGCCACATTCAATCAAGAAATTGAGACATGCTATCCATCAGAGAATGCATTGCACTACCAAGTGTATTACTAGTAATTTATACATGTAACCAAGGTGAATACTAGATTATTCTGCTGATAAAATGAGAATCACTTGTACATACGCTTGTCTAACGGAAGCATTGGAAGCTTTAGCATCCACGGAACGGATCAAGGGATAGTACTTCTTCAGTGGTAGGGTATTGGTTGCGAAGCTGAATCCCTTATCAAACATCAAATCTTTAAAATTTAAAAAATATATTGAGAGCACATTGTAAAATTGTGAAATCAGGAGAAGACTAGCTAGATACATCTTGGTTCATAAGTAATCACAAACCTTGAATTGCTTGTTATTGCCAAGGATGACATAGGATGGGAAGTCCCGGTCAATTGTGCTAGCTGCAATAGTGAAAATCCAAGGCGCCAAATTTGAAATGGACCCTGCCCTTGGCCCTGAATTTCCTCCCGAGCAAACTACAAGAATTCCTTTCTCAGCAGCATGAAATGCTCCAATGGCGATGCTATCAGTGAAGTAATCCTCAGGCGCACCACCAAGGGAAACGGAAATGACATCGACACCATCATGTATAGCAGCATCAAAGGCAGCTAATATATCTGCATCATAGCAGGAGGTACCACTGCTGGTGGGCCAACAGACCTTGTATGAAGCAACTCGAGCTTTAGGTGAACCACCCTTTGCAGTTCCATTGGCTGAGCCGAGGTAGTTTGCTCCAGCAACAAAACGACCCCCTGCAGTGGAAAGAGTGTGCGTCCCATGGCCATGGTAATCACGTGCAGTGTAGAAGGAGGAATTAAGAGGGCCAAAACGAGCTCCATAGCCTTTGTTGAAGTACCTTGCCCCAATTAGCTTCCTTTTATGTGACAATCTCAGTTAGTTTCAGGAAAATACACATACCAAACACATTAAACATCATTCCTGAGAAACTTAGACATGTAAATGTAACATGGGATCTGGTCTGAAGGAATAGAAAATAAAACCTGTTGCATTGAACTCCATCTATTGTTTCGCAGTAGCCTTTCCATTTAGAAGGAACAGGTCCCATTCCTTCATCAATGAAGCTCTCTGACTCGGGCCAGACTCCTATTAACCAGCCATACACAAAATTGAGAAGGGTGTAAAGAAAACATCATGAAATCAAATTAAATGCACAAAGAAAAAATCAAAAGAATACAGGATCCAAAAGTCCTAATTGCAGCAAAAATTTGTCAAAAAACCCCAAAATTCATTTCGTTTTGGGGCGTGACAATCATGTTGTTGAGGAACACAATTCAAAGCCCAAGCAGAAGACAGAAAGGGAACAATATCGCTCAAAGAATCTTGATGCAGAAAGAAATAGGCGGAATCGGATTAAAGATGGATTCTTTGCTCTACGTACTCTAGTCCCCAAGATTTCAAAAGTCTACATAATTGCATACATGTCATGTATTATGGGGAAAAAAAATGTGTGTCTATATACTTATCTGTTTCTTTTTCAATTAGGATTTTTGGATATGTCAATTACAGAGCTTTCATGTAGCAAAGGTAGAAAAGAAAGAGCTTTCTTGTATCTTCATGTTCAAAACTTGTGAATTAGTAGCTAGTCTTTCTCTATTCAGCTGAGCTATTATCCCATTTTGATTTCCTTCCAAATATTTTATTTCAAAAAAAAAAGAAAAGAATTTTATTATTAATTAAATTCAACCGTAATGAACAAATAATTTTCAGCATCCCTAGCACAGCAACTCTTTTAATATTGTGATTAACAAAAATTCAACATGGTTGTCGTTATATGTGAAATTGGATATCAGAGTTTGCTAATAAAGTATTGGAAGTTGTCTCATAAAATCAAAATGAATGGTCATACACCCATTGACTAAAACGAAGCCACTTTAAGTTCTTAGTAGAGTGTTGGTTAAGGCAAGAGAACCAGATAATATAAAGATAGGCTCACCAGTGTCAAGGTTTCCAATTATTGCATCTTCTCCGAATCTCGCTTTCTTCCAGATAGATTCACCAGGAATCTCCCCATTTCTCTCTAATCCAAGAAAATCCCATGTCCTAGTCGTGTGCAGCGTCTTAACCTTGTTTGAGAAAACTGATACTACTTCTGGATGCTCTATTATTACAACAAAAATGGAGCTATTTACACATGAATATATACATACATATACATACATATATATTTAAAATAGTGAGAATATGTATAGAGGTCGAACATAAAGAATGGCAATACAAACTGTGGATGAAAATTTGGTACCTGAGAGTTTTCTTACTTCGTGATCATCAAGCATTGCAGCAAAACCATTGATACGTCTGGTGTATGAGTAAAAAATAGCTTCTTTTGCTGCCTTTTTGCTATAATAACATAACATTGTTAGATTAAAAAAGAAAAGGATCGAGAATGCTAATGATAGTAGTCTAAGATTATATAGATATATTACCTTCCTAAGCAGGAAGCAAGAAGCTCATGGTGAGAATTGGTCGCTTGAACAAAATCCGTGGAAGAAGGTGTGTTTCCATGTGAATGTTTCCCTAGGTACACCACATATGACTGCTGAAGAATATAATGCACCAAGCAAATGTTAAGACAAACGCCGCGAAATCAAGATCACAATCAAAAAACACAGCAGAAAAATAAACATGCACCATACAAGACATAAAGATTTACGTGGATCGAGCTAAAGCATTTCACTTTGCAAAAAATAGAAAATTATCAAAATCCTTTGTCTTAATCTCTAAAACGAAAGAAGTGGATTCTCTCCCGTTTGGAGAGGTCTTCCGACGTTATTTTGGTGCACAAATATGAAGTCCACGCGGCTCACTTTGTGCTCCTTGATATATATTATGTACTAAAACGGTGTAGTTTTGGTACATAACATTATACACAAGGCCACTCCAAAAGGAGGGGATCCTGGTCCCACGCTACAAACGCTAAAAGAGTTTACAATCCGGATACACAACTTGTAAGAGGAAACATGTCATTTTTTCCTTTTTTTATGTTTTTTGAATCATAACCGGGATGCAACTGAAACAAAAGGTAAGTGTGATGTTATGCACTAAAATGGTGTAGTTTTGTTACATAACACTATGCACAAGGCCACTCCAAAAGGAGGGGATCTTGGTCCCACGCTACAAGCCCTAAAAGAGTTTACAATCCGGATACACAACTTGTAAGAAAAAATATGTCATTTTTTTTTTTTTTTTTGAATCATAATCGGGATGCGACTGAAACAAAAGGTGATGTTACGAGAGATAATAGATATTTACTATGAAAAGGGAAACTAAACATGGATTCTAGCAGAAAATCAGAATGGAAGTATAGCATGCCTTTTTGTTTGCAAGTGTTGGCTTCTGCATTATGCAGAAAAGGAGAGCCAATAAAAAAACACAAAGAAGCTTCATATTCCCCAATTTTCCTAACTCTCTTAATATTGTATTATGCTTGTCTCAAGTACTTGGACCACTTCTATATCACTCAGATAAAGTGCTGCTACAATTTGTGCGATGAAAATAGTCTATTTATAGTGTAATAACATGATGAACAGGCGTTTCTCACATTGTCAGTCAACATATGCCTGGAAGCTTCATTCTGATATATATATATATATATATATATATACCACCAAATTTGAACTCTTCAAGGCTTTAAACCAACAACCCTTCGTCCCTTCACCAATTTGACAAAACGAAACAGTGGTGGTCCTTTTCATGTCCATCTTATTGCTTGGAAGGTTCTAAATTGAGATTCTACTTTCTAAAACTCTTCTTCCAGGTTTTAACTAAAAGAAAAGTCTTTGACCAAATTACTCAAAACAATATCCAAAATAGGTACCAAGTAAAGTCAATTTCATTTGTTTACAACAACGGTAAATTGCAACCGACATTTTTATGGAAAATTAAATGTTTTGTGTATGCAGCATCAAATTGGAATGGTCGAATCTGCTGCTTTTTTTTGAAAATTTCAATTATCCTTTTTTTTTTTTTTTTTTCATCACAAATATTCTTTTATTTAGTAGTAAAATTGACGCTGTTATAATTGAATAATCTGTTCTTGAAAGTTCTGACTAGAGAAGATTTTTCAGTATTTTTTTTTTCGTAAGCTAAAATTGACTAGGTAAAGTTTTTATTTCTTAGGACTCTCCACATGCAAAGATAATACTGCATGCATTAAACTATTATCTACTCTTGTCACACCATCTGACCATCATCCGGAAGAAAAAAAAAAAACTAAGTATTGAATCATGGCATTTGGTAAGCTCTAAAAAGGTAAATTATACGTATCTTTCCTTTGGTTTGTCATAATTACTGTCATCTCTCCTATGATTTAGAAAATTACTCGGCTCTCCCTTAAATATGAAACTAACGACACAAACCTTTCTTCGGTTATGGTCAACGCAAGTCAATGACAAATTTTGTTGATGTCATTTACTAAATAAATTGAAATTCACATATTACCCTTTGTGCATCTCTTCTCTCTCACATATACAGATGGTACTACAATCATTTACCATGACAACTTGAGGGCATTTTAATAAATTAGACAAATCTATTAGTGCATTTAACGATCTATCACTAAAAAAAGAGGTTTGTGTAATTTAATTTCATTTTTAGTGTAGGTCCAAATAATTTACCATATCTCTAAAATTGTGAAAAATCTCTAACTGATCAGTATTAAAGAGTGCTTATTCTAAGGTTACTCAACTTGAGCTTTCAAGAATCGATCCAATGTACATGTGTATAAATCTTTGCGCACGTTTGGTGCACACATTGTTATTAGTGATGGTGTTAGAAATTTACTCGCTCAAAGCGACTATCTAAACAATAATGAGATAAATAATAATAATAAAATAATAAATACAAAAACCTTAAATATTGATGGACCAAATACATTTGAATTGTGCATGAGTTTTCATGTTTTGAATGGATTGCTTGATTACCTCGTTATAATCCTACTATATATATATATATATATATGATTGTTTTAGTATATAAAATTAGATACACATCCGCCTCGAATTTTTCCCCTCCATTTTTAAGATGGGTAAGTTATACCATACCAATGGTTATAAAATAACAATTGACCGATGTTTATAGCTACTCTCGTAAATAGAGTTCAATAAAGATTTTTGTCAGTTTTTAAAAATAATAAAACTCTTTTCTACTTATTTATTTTAGTCACTAGTTCTCACGTCAAGTCTTTACCTACTTAGTTAAAAATAAATAAAAAGTAAGACAAATATAATTATTTGAATGTTCTGCATTGAAATTTGAGTCTTTCTAGAGTTCTAGCAAATAAAGTAAGAGTAGTTTGAAACTTCTTGGTTTCACCGCCAGCTCTTTACCAAATTAACAAAAGAAATTTATCCACCAGAATGAAGTAGTTTGAAAAGAAATCATAGAAATTACTCTAGTCAGTAAATTCAGTATCCAATTTCAATGCCAAGCAAGTCACTTTTATTTCCTGTTAGTATCAAATTTAATTCTCCTTGTTGAGGATTCAAATTTAAATTTTTGTTCATTTTTCAAATCTCCTTATCTTATAAGTCAAAAATGACGATTTAGAAAGTAACAATCGTTGTACTGTGCACCAGCCAAAACTATACAATTTTCTTCTTGGAAAATCCGAATAGAGAAAAATCCTTAATGTCTGTTTCTTGAAAAATATTAATAGAAAGCTTTTCATGTTGAAATACTACGATCCGAATAGAGAAAATTATATAATTTGTGTTTAATCTGCATAAATTCAAGCTTTCCAGAAGGTTTGGTATTGGAAGAAAGTAAGTTCGTGGGCCAGGTCAGGGACAGAGCAGCCTTTCCAGAAGGTTTGGTATTGGAGGAACCTTCCTGGGCCTGGGCCAGGGACTTGAGTATATCCACAAAGTCCACTTGGGGCAGTCCAATTAATATCCATTCAACTCTATCGTCTTCTTGCTGAGATTTATATCTGGAGGCATTCGTAGATACGTTTTAAACAAGACTCTGAACACGGAGAAGAAAGTGTGCAATATCTTGACAGTTGATCACATCCATTGAATACTGACCTAGATAGCCAATTGAACATGCACTTTTAAGTTCTAAATGTTGTGATGACAGTCCCTTAATCTTCATTTGGTAGGATGGAAAAAATTTGGATAAAAGGGAAAGAAGAAGAGATAAATGAAATATTCTTAGGGAAGAAATTGTGTCATTCCCTTTCTTTGTAAAAATTTAATCCGTAATCAAAGAACTGCCTTTTGTAATTCTTTATAAATAATCAAACAAACTCGAGTCTTTCAAACCACAGTACATGCAACGCATTATTATTGTTCATTCATATAGATGTTAGAGATTGATCTCGAATGAGAATAGTAAAAACAGGTCTCTATATATATTCTGACCTACAACTCAAAATTAATTCTCTCTTACATGAGCATGGCTTTTATTGAGAAGACTAATGTGGTGTTGATATAATCTTAATTTTAGAAGCTATATCATGATTTATTATTTCTTGTAGGGGTAAATTTGTTTAGTTAACCGAAAACCTTAAACTGAATTCTCTATAGGAGTATATTTAGTACTTAATGATCGAGTGAAACTCCATTGACTTAAAATTTTAACTCCTTTTAAGTGGAACATATATATTTAAGTTGTGATCACAATTTTTTTTTTTTTTTGTTTTTTTGGCCCTTTGAGCACATGTATCCGCCCTACAGCACACGTATCATTCAAATTAGGAATGTGGTTCAAAAGTGAGATCTTAAAGACTTACGTTTTGAATCTCTGTCAACGCCTCTGTACTCTGGGAACAAGTTGTGATCACAATTTGAATAAGTTTATCAAATAAAATTTAATATTGAATTTTAACGCCAAACAGTTGGCTACAATGGTCAGTCACTTGGACAGTTGGATCTGGAGTCTTTTGAAGCAACCCAACTTTTTGGATGGATGTCCCCTAAGTAGCCAGACTGGCCCAGCCCGGTTCAGCCCGACTACGGTCTGAAGCACTTTGAATACCACCCAATTGTTTGGATATGGTAGATCTCACCTAAAAGCTAGACTGGCCCAACCCAGTTAAGGTTGAGTCCACACTCTGCTGACCTTTGACCTGTCATGGCCTGTCCTGTCCTAACATGACAAAGAATTGTTAATGGTCAAGCCTGTCCAATATGACAAAGAATTATTAAATTCGCCTAGCCCAACGATGTAACCCTAACATAACAAAAAATTATTAAATTCACTTCTCAAAAATGTAATAGAGCAACTTTATTATTACACTGACACACCGTTATGGTAGATGAAAATACATACATATTATTAATTATAAAGGTCTATATCTTAGTAACAAAGGCTTTATTTTATTAATATATTAATATTTCATTATCTTTTTCTATTGTAGTAAATGCAACGTTTAAATGTCTCAGCCCCACTTTTACTTTAGTGGATGAATCATATAATTTTTGTCAACTGGTTTCAAAACATCTCTCATGCTTTAATTTAAATGCTAATGAACCCCACTTCTGATTTTATCATCTTACATAGCTCACGGCTTAAATATTACTATATCTAACGGTTACTAATAGTTGATGTTGAGAAAATTGTCGTTCATTGATTAAGTAAGAGATCATTTATTCTCTTTTAAAATATATCAACTTATATTTTATAATCTATTAAAACATATACATATCAAAATTTTGGTCCAATTAAATAATTCGACTAGTAGATGAAATCTAAAAGATAATTTCAGTGACCATTGATTTTATTTTTTTATTTTTATTTTTTTTATTCAAATTGAAAAGAATATTTCTTAAAATATATTGTGGGACTAGACAATTACAGCTTGGGATTGCTTTGTTGCAACCAATTGGGGGGACAAAAGTGGCTCCATATATTGTGGGTTGGGTGGGTAATTGAAACCCTAACTCATCCCACTTGCAATTTGAGAAGTAAAAGCCCTCAACTTCCAACCCACAAGGTAGCCAGCCCATGGTTGAGGGCCGAGGTATGTATACTCCCTTGGTCCCCTGTTAAAAGTTGACCTTTTTATGTTTAGCTGTCCCAAAATAAAAGTTACATTTGAAAAGTTATAGTGCTATTAATTTTTTCTCAAAACACTATATATATATATATATATATATATATATATATATATATATAACATTATCAATTTAACCTTCTTGTATTAAGCTTATAAAAAATAAACCATCACATTCTGTGAATCCACTGTAGACATATTTGATAATTAATTCACCACTAATACAATAGAAAAATATTAAAATTCATCCTCTTAAAAAGTTAGATTCTAAAAAAAAAACCTTTTTTTTTCTCCTCTAAAAGCACACAAAGGTAGACACTAACCTAAATACTTAAACCAGTAATAAATCAAATTTTAATATAAATCTGAAATGATCTCATTAATAGAATATAGATTGAAATGATCTAACAATTTGTTAATTATTCAAATTTGATAATGTATTATATAAATAAATCGGATATGAATTGTGAATCAAATTTAATCATAAACAAA